ATAAGATGTGGTTGCCTTTAGCATAGACAGATTTTCCAGGGGGGAACACCCCCCCCCATAAACACTTTGCAACCCCCCCAAAAAAAAACTTTTCCACACCACCTACAGAAATTTGCACACCCCATAAATTTAACTGCTCATTGGATTAAATGACAGTATAGAGTAAATGAAATATTACAATTTTGAAGTATTAGACTATAAAAACAAAGGATTTGAACCAAATAAGACCAAAAATCTCTTGTATGTCCCCCCCCCCCTTACCACATTAGCAACTGTGCTCTCAGACCCCTGCTGCAGATTGTTTAGCAGTGCTACACATTCCATTGTTCTATCCCACTAAATGCTTGCCCCCACCCAATTTTTGGCCTCCCCCCCCCTCTGAGTAAAATCTGAAAGTCTGTCGTTGCCCTATAGGCTATAAATTATGGAAGGTTGTCTTGTTGGAAGAATATTATATCAGAGCCAAGGTCTGTTAGGGAAAAACAACAACATTTTACAATTACATATAAAATCGTTATGGAATGTCACGATAGGAATGCAAATTTTTGCCCAAATAATTCGATAGACCAAAACAATGCATGGCATGACGGCAACACGTATACTGAGACTTTTAAAAGTGGCAGTCCCGCTAAGAGCTAAGGTCCGATGACTTTGACTTTGGAAAATAGATTTCCTTTATTTTTTGTGTGTTGAAAGGCATTGGTATACAAGTGTCCAAAATAAATTTATTTTTTGAAAATTCTTTTTTATGGCTTCGCTAGACGCCGAAACTCATTTTACCCGTGCAGAGCTAATTTCAAGCAAAATCGAAGGTTGAATTTCGGTAAATTGTAGAGCCGCGCTGTGTCAAAACGCCTGACTATTTCCACATTTCAACTAGATCAACAAGTTAAGATACAATTCAGGTTCTCTGTTCCAAAAAATAAGAGCATTTGAATAAATTGTGAATAAACGACAGCGACTTGACGGCACACCGGTTTTTGCTTCTTGTTCGGTCTACAAAATTACACTAAAATCGAAGCCTGAGATCTCCAAATGGGGACCTAAAATTACTCTGAAATGTGCTTGGCTGTAATGATTTATACTTATTTTCAGAAGATCTGAAGAAAAACCTGCGGGTATCAATCTGTATTTGGCGCGAGTTAAGATTTTCTGGAGCCCATAATCAATGATTTTTGCATAATTTATAGCTAATTAACATATTTCTTGAGAGGCGCTAAAAGTAAACAATTTCTTTCTGACTAACATATCTCAGATGAAAGAAACTACCACAGCTAGTAATACCCTTTTTGTAAATATAGTCGTAATGTTCTTTTCCTGACACGCTGAGAGAGCTTTGTTTTTGAATGTTATGCCACATTTATTCAGTCTGACCAGATTCATAAATGTCACGAACTTGTATATTTCAAAAATATCAGTACCACAAATCAGAATTCAGAAAGACCGATTATTCTTTCCTTGATTCAGTTGATGGATTTAGTTGATTGATTTATTAAAAAACTATAAGTATAATAGAACATTCCATGTGTTTCCATTGCCCCTATATAGGGCTAGAATTTTTATCAATATGTTCTATTTTTCTGTGGCGACGGCATATTAACAAAATACGACACAAAAATGTACATTTGAATTTATGACCGACATATCAGAATGTTATTTATGAAGTTTGAATTGAATTTACTTAACGCGAAATAAATACTAAAATAGGAATTTTCTATGCTGGGTTAGTAAAAGAAAAAGCATAATTTTAATTGTATGTAATTTCGATGAATACTATTAAAAAAATTATACACATTGTTTATATAAATTAGCTAACATTTACACATTTATTACGATAGTAGCGACGTTTGTTTTAGCCATGTAACAAAATAAACTATAAGCATTCTGATCAGTTATTTAACAAAAATATCAAACTTGTGTCTTGTGAATTTTAATTCACAAACTTTTGAAATTTATTCTCAGCTATGGAGCTCACGAATATATTTTTTTTCAAAGAAAAATATTGAAATTCGATTATTTATAAAATTGATATTTTTGTTAAAAATGTTAGCTAATTTATATAAACAATGCGTATAATTTTTTTTATAGTATTCATCGAAATTACATACAATTAAAATTATGCTTTTTCTTTTACTAACGCGGCATAGAAAATTCCTATTTTAGTATTTATTTCGCGTTAAGTAAATTCAATTCAAACTTCATAAATAACATTATGATATGTCGGTCATAAATTCGAATGTACATTTTTGTGTCGTATTTTGTTAATATGCCGTCGCCACAGAAAAATAGAACATATTGATAAAAATTCTAGGCCTAAATAGGGGCAATGGAAACACGTGGAATGTTCCATTATACTTATAATAGTTTTTTAAATCAGTCAACTAAATCAATCAACTGAATCAATGAAAGAATAATCGGTCTTTCTGAATTCTGATTTCTGGTATATTTTTGAAATATACAAGTTCGTGACATTTATATGAATCTGGTCAGACTGAATAAATGTGGTATAACATTCAAAAACAAAGCTCTCTCAGCGTGTCAGGAAAAGAACATTACGACTATATTTACAAAAAGGGTATTACTAGCTGTGGTAGTCTCTTTCATCTGAGATATGTTAGTCAGAAAGAAATTGTTTACTTTTAGCGCCTCTCAAGAAATATGTTAATTAGCTATAAATTATGCAAAAATCATTGATTATGGGCTCCAGAAAATCTTAACTCGCGCCAAATACAGATTGATACCCGCAGGTTTTTCTTCAGATCTTCTGAAAATAAGTATAAATCATTACAGCCAAGCACATTTCAGCGTAATTTTAGGTCCCCATTTGGAGATCTCAGGCTTCGATTTTAGTGTAATTTTGTAGACCGAACAAGAAGCAAAAACCGTTGTGCCGTCAAGTCGCTGTCGTTTATTCACAATTTATTCAAATGCTCTTATTTTTTGGAACAGGGAACCTGAATTGTATGTTAACTTGTTGATCTAGTTGAAATTTGGAAATAGTCAGGCGCTTTGACACAGCGCGGCTCTACAATTTACCGAAATTCAACCTTCGATTTTGCTTGAAATTAGCTCTGCACGGGTAAAATGAGTTTCGGCGTCTAGCGAAGCCATAAAAAAGAATTTTCAAAAAATAAATTTATTTTGGACACTTGTATACCAATGCCTTTCAACACACAAAAAATAAAGGAAATCTATTTTCCGAAGTCAAAGTTATCGGACCGCTCTTAGCGGGACTGCCACTTAATATAGTACAACAATGTTGGAGCTTTGTTTTTGAATTAATACATATTACCTCCGTTTTGGTACCTCCATTCCATAACATTACCCCAATTCGGTATGCCTGAGCAGACATTTGTTGATTTCTGTGCTTCAGCAATACGGAAGAGGCTACAGACAGAGCTTGGTGAGGCCTTTTACTTATCTTTACATTTCCCTCTTTCAACAATTTCTCTTTCTCAGGGTAGACAGCACACGACCTGAGACAACGATACAATATTGGACATCTCTCTTGCAACTCTAGTTCATGCCTTTGCGCTGAAAATGTCTGCAAGTCATCCGGGGAAATTTTCCTTAACAGGGAAGGCGTAGTTGTTTTACATATCTCAACTGTTTCCTTATTAATTTCCTCTTGAAATTTCTTTAGAAGTATTTCTCTAAACTCCTCCCTTTTCCAGATGGCGTTTATTGCTGTAGAATGTTTGCCAACTGTTAAGTTAACAATTATTTGTTTGATTCTCAAGTCGTGGATTATTTTTTTCTTTAAGAGATTTGGCCATTGTATGAAAACCTGCAAGGAAAAACGTGACTTTTATTACAAACATGCCTATATACAATATGTTTTAATAACTAAAATTCCTATAAATCATACTGGTATAAACTTATCAACAAATCAAATGCTACTATTCTACCTCAACTTTCGTTGTGGGATTTTCTTGCTCATTTTGAAGACGATTGTCGGCTGAAACTGTTCCGCTCATTTCTTTCAAATGACCAGCAGTAATGTTATTTGCAAGCACAGGCAGGAGAGACCTCCTTGCTGGCGATCTACATGTTGATTCCAACTTGTTGTTTATATTATTTAACGGCGAGGATGTAGTACATAATCTCTTTGTTGTTCCATTCGAACCAACTCCCAAAGCTGGCGATTGTCGACACCTCTTCTCGCGAACTCGAATACTTTCGTTTTCGGAATAAGCCGTAACAAAATCATCCAGCTCTTTCTGGAACTTTTCGAATTTTTGAATCTTTCGAAAACATCCTTGACACACCATAGAAGACAAATGGTTCTCTTGAACAACATCGCGTTTCAGCAATCTTGACAGTCGACGCTGTAAATCATGCTTAATAAATCCCGAAAATATGTTGTAATGACCACGACCAGCAATCTTGAAATTTATGCCGCACAATCGGCAAATCTCCTTAAGATTAACGGTTGATACAGGATAAGCTTTTGTGGGAGTATGCTTTGGAGTAGACATAAACAATGTTTTATTGATACATTTTCTTGCGAGAAGTGAAAGCAGTGCACCTAGTCAGGCAAAAGAAGGCGGCAAAACCCTGTCTAGACGGCCTGGCGTCAAGGATAATGATTGGCTAATATTTTTAGAATACGATGCATTATGCATTTTTTGCATTCCTTATCCGAACCAGGAATCGCTAACAAATTCACCAGAGGTTTTTCCTCTTTCTTCGCGCGTTTTCTCCTTTCTCTTCGCGCGTTTTCTCGCAGTTCGCGTTCGCCAAACCTAAAAACCTCTGGTTCCAGGGTAATCAGCGGCAGAAATTCAGGAACAACTAAACCATGACTTAGACAACATACACCAATGGTTGCTGGCTAATAAGCTTACTCTGAATAAAGAAAAGACCGAATATATGGTAATTGGGTCTAGACAAAGATTATCTAAAGTATTAAATGAGCCGGAAATCCACGTAGGCGAAACAACAATTAAACGAGTAAGCTATTCTAAAACTCTAGGCGTTGTTATAGATGAGAATCTTACTTGGGAAAGGCAAATCGAAAACATACAGACTAAAATTTCAAAAGGTATCGGCATGTTACGGCGAATGAAAAAAATAATTCCTAAAACAACATTGAAAAAAGTATATAATGCCATTATATTACCACATTTCGACTACTGCAGCCTTGTTTGGGATAATTGTAGTGATTATTTAATTGACAAACTTCAAAAACTGCAAAACAGAGCGGCACGTGTAATCACTGGCAGAACATACGAAACAAGATCACGCGATGTTTTAAAAGAACTACATTGGCAACCCTTGAAAGAACGCCTTAAGCACAAAAAACTATTTTTTATGCATAAAGTAAGGAATAATGGACTGCCAATTAGTATGATGAATATGTTTGATATTAAAACAAACTCTCGGTATAACCTCCGTAGCAACAATCGAGATTTCACCCTTGACAAACCAAGTACAAATTTTTTGAAGAAAAGCATAAGCTATACAGCCTCTTCGGCCTGGAATAATTTGCCTCTTGAGGCTAAAGGTTCAGGAATTACTAGTCAGAAATTCAAGTCCATTCTTGATCATTATTCCTCGCGTTAAAGTGTATGCACTTAATCTAAATTTAATTAGTGCGTTCGTTTGTAAGGGGGAGGGAGGGGGGGGGAGGTAGGGTTAATCGTTTTATATTGTTATATATGCATGCCTGTAGTTCTACTTATCTGTATTGTATTGTATATTTATATTATGTAATATTTTTAACCAAACAGCCTCTTGAAAAACAGGTGCGCAAGTGCCCTGAAGAGCTACCGTTTCTAAATAAGATTAAATTACAATTAAAATTACAAATAGCGGACACTGATTGGTCCAATTTAAAGTTTGCATTATAACGACTGCATGACGACAGCGAAACAGCAAACATTTCTTGATTTGATGATTGATAAATTTCTTGCAAATATATCTTATTTTTGCTCGCATTTTTGCAAGATTTTGTAAATTTCAAGAAAGAAAAGACGAAAGAATGGGCTAAAAGAAGGGAGCTGACGTTAACAAAGGTAAGTTTGTTTTAAATATTTATTTAGTGTAATTGTTTTAAAACCCGACGGCCTTTGAGTATATGATAAAGTACATTTCTTGCAAGTTGTATTTTAGCAAGATTTTGTAAATTTCAAAACCTTTCTGAGAGCCAAAAACGTCTAAAAACGTCTAAAAGAATAGAGCAAAGTCGCCGACGTTAACGAAGGTAAGTCTGTTTTAAATATTGATGTATTGTTTGTCTTATAATTGATATATTTAAAACTGATAATGGTGGGCGATACGGCGAATATTGAACTAAACCTATCATTGCGTATATAAGTGAAAAAAGACAGCATATAATTTCAGTGTAGTTTTATTAATTACCTTTTCTTTTGTATACTAAAGTATTTAAATAAAGAGGAAAGCAAAGTTATTTTCATGCGAGAATTTGAAATCAGCTTATTTCAAACTCAATGTTTACCGATAATTCGATAAAAAGCCGTTTAGTTTTGAGAACATTTTAAAACGTTTTGCGAAGCGTTTGTGGTTGAATTTAATTTTACATTAAATTGATGCTTATATTACGTATAATAACATACCTGGCATACATATGTTTGGGAAATTGATAATTTTGTTATTAAAGGGACACTCCACCCCCAGAACAAGTGTCGCTCATAAGAAAGCTTTATATGAGCCTACCTTGGAATGAATATTTGTTCGCCTCAATTCTTTTTCGTTTGCGAGAAATTTAACTTTGTTTCACTGATTTTTGGTCCATTATTGCCGCCATGTTTGTTGAATCCGCGGGTGGTCCTATGAGTGCCGTGACGTAAGTGTGTGATAGAAACAAATTTCATAATTAGATTGCAGCAAGGATTCGCATATTATTCACTCTTTATTAAACTTTAGAGATTTCTTTTAAATAATTTTCAACGGAAGATCATTGCTTGGTTCCAGAGTGGCACGGAAAACTGTGGGAATCAGCCACAACAGAATCCCAAAGAAAAAGGTTTGCGACGAGCGCGGCTGGCGAGAAATTATTTGCAGAGTAAACTGAACCTACGCGATTTAGATATTACATTCATCTGTTTATTCGGCGTCGGCGCATTTATGCCTGAATACTTCGCAAGAACGCTAGAATTTATGCGTTGCTTCCAACAAAAGCCAAAGCTAAAACCAGACGCGATGGCATCTATATTTCCGCGCCATAAGCCAAAGTCATGAAACCCAGAAACACAGGGTGAAGAAGAAATCATATTCGCCCTGCTTGAACAAACCAGACAAAAGGTATTAACTAAGCAAATCATGAAAGCTTTATTTCTACAATGTATATCAATGATTTTGTAGTTTTCATACTGTGGAAGAATTTACTTTCTAGACATTTGTACGTTAAAAGATACCAATAAAGCATTAAAACATTTAATAACGTTTTTATTAATATGTTGCGTGTGAAAATTTGCTACATATATTTACAGTGTCAAGTTACTATCAACTGTATGTAAACTGTAAAAATGCTTTTCCATGATAGCTGGGAATTGCTTATGCTGTGAGTAGAAACATGTTCCTAGGCCTCAACCATGGTCCAACACTATTTTCAAAACCCTCCATGCGAAAATACTATATACAAGACTCACATAAACACCCCAATTTTATACTGTACATACATGCACTGTGTAGGCAGCAGGGAATAAAAATATACACAACATGTTATTGAAGTGTTTGTAATGCTTGATTTGTATCCTTTAACGCACAAATGTCTAGAAAGTTAATTCTGCCACAGTATGAGAACTACAAAATCATTGATATACATTGTACATGCAAATAAAGCTTTCATGGCTTGCTTAATTTAATACCTCTTGTCTGGCTCGTTCAAGTCGGCCGATTTGATTTCTTCTTCGCCCTGTGTTTCTTGGTTTCTTTGGCTTATGGCGCGGAAATATAGATGCCACCGCGTCTGGTTTTAGCTTTGGCTTTTGTTGGAAGCAACGCACAAATTCTAGCGTTCTTGTGAAGTATTCAGGCATAAATGCGCCGACGCCGAATAAACAGATGAATGTAATATCTAAATCGCGTAGGTTTTTAATACTCTGCAAATAATTTCTCGCCAGCCACGCTCGTCGCAAACCTTTTTCTTTGGGATTCTGTTGTGGCTGATTCCCACAGTTTTCCGTGCCACTCTGGAACCAAGCAATGATCTTCCGTTGAAAATTATTTAAAAGAAATCTCTAAAGTTTAATAAAGAGTGAATAATATGCGAATCCTTGAAATTTGTTTCTATCACACTCTTACGTCACAGCTCTCATAGGACCGACCGCATTCGCCCGCGATTCAACAAACATGGCGGCGATAATGGACGACAAAGACACTGAAACATAGATAAAATTTCTCGCTAAAGAAAAAGAATTGAGGCGAACGAATGTTCATTTCAATGTAGGCTCATATAAAGCTTTTATATAAGCGACACTTGTTCTGGGGGTGGAGTGTCCCTTTTGGGGGATTTTTCAATTTTAAAACCAGGTTTAAAACTATTCTTAAAATTATCGTGTTACCATGACAACTACTTTCAATTCTTCATAATATTCAGAAAACATAATGTTATGTCAGTAAGGCGAGGGTTTCTGCATGCATGTATTTTCTAGTTCATATCATTGAAATATAGAAAAAAATATATAATAGAGCTGACTGCATGCGAACTTCCTCCAGCAAAAGTCATGTATTTTAATATGCAGAATTAGCCAGAAGAGTTTCTAATTCAAATTCTAACTAGAAATACATGCATGCAGCTGCCTCGTACCCAGGCGCTTACATGAAGTATTCAGGTAGGCATCCGACGCGCGAAGGGGCTGTTGGGAAGGGTGCGTGCTGGGGAGCGCCTGGCAGTTCTTGTATACTGTCAGGGCGGGAAAACAGGGAATTTTATACAAAAAGTTACCATATCGTCATATACTCTGTGTGTAAAACCTTACTTTGTGATGAAGAGTTGAATTGAACGCCATTGGCAAATAATAATACATTTGTAGATGTTCGATGACATGCAAAATGCGCGAAAAATTATGAGTATAAATAATATGACAAGTTAACCGTGCGAATATTTCGAATATGTCATTCGATATTACATGGAGAATAATAGAATGCTATCAGTTGCTCAGTTAGCATAAAACAGTAACAGAGAAATGATTAGAAAGTCATGTAATTGCTTTTGTATTAATAACTTCTTTAGCTGAAAGCTCAATCAGTCGATCACAATGCCAATGGCAATTTCTATTAACTGTATAATGTAAACAAAAGCCCAAGTAAATAAAAGTTCACAGCCGTAAAGTTTGAAATATTTATTACAACAGTGCAATTTTATAGTCTGTACCTTTATATAGTTATAGCTTACAAATCTAGTTCCTGCAAGTCTAGTTCTTCAACGCTTCGGTTGTTGACATGTTAATATTGGAATTTCCATGGACTTTAAGGGCATATATATGTCATATATACCAAGAATAACAGCATGAATTCACGCCCGGATGACAGGAGAATATTAACATTAGTCAATTCAACAAAAACAAGTAGCAAAAAATCGTAAACGACAACAAAATATCACAACTTGCAAGAAATCGTACATTGTTGCAAGAAATCGACCAAGAACTGCCAGGCGTCTCGCAGTTCAAGTGTACTCTTCCCATCAGCCCCTTCGCCATCTCTCCCCACTACAATACTTCATGTAAACACGTCATATGGGCATCACTGTTTTTTTACAAAGAGGCGCCTGGGTACGAGGCAGTGCATGCAGCAACCCCTCGCATGTATTTTCCAAACATTGATTTAACATGAAGTATTAGTAATTGATTAACACTGAACCTGTGACTTTATCTCATACCTAGCGTATTAGCGGCTTTCCTATTGGCTACGAGGAGGTGCGTTCAATCTCTTATCCCATACCTGTGTTAAAAGAGGCTTTCTGATTGGTTTAGAGCCGGTGAGCTTGTCGTCGAGTTCACCTGTTTTTGCCGAACTCGCCTGCTTTTCGCCCGAACTTACCCGCTAAACTACTTACGTTGCAATAACAATAACAAATATGGCGGACAAGATTTAGCCGATAAACCTAAACTTTCAAGAACTTTTTTCGGTGACTAACATACTGAGACTAAAGAAAAACCAAAGCAAAAATGCAGTAAAGGTAATGTGGACGTAGACAAAGAAGTATTTTCTTGCCCAGTGATTTTTTTGGCCGGGAAAATGTTCACAAAACATCTAGGGGTGCACCGGAACCAATTTTTTAAGTTCCGGCCGGAACCGGAACTGGAAAAAAGTTCCGGCAGGAAGTTCCGGCCGGAACCGAAACTAATTTGTTAAGTCATATATAGTCATATGTTACTTTGTCTGCTGCCAAAAGGCAGACACTTCAATTCATCAAGGAGAGAGCTCGTAAATGTTAGAATAAAAAGACTGACAAACGTTAAACGTCATAATGAAGTGTTAATAGTGTACATTTCCCTTGCGTGGTCTAAATTTCTTCCTACTGTGAACTTTTGTTAGACAGAAGAACGTTTGATATTCTATCTCTCTGAAAACGACAGAGTTCCGGTTCCGGCCATGCTTTTTTTATTAGTTCCGGCCGGAACCGGAACTCTGAAAAATCGGGGTTCCGGCCGGAACTAACCGGCCGGAACCGAGTTCCGGTGCACCCCTAAAAACATCGACGAATATATCGCGAAGAGCTACAAATGTGTGTATGGCTCGGTGTATGGGATAAAAACCAAACGTACTTGCAGGTTCGGTGAATCCGGGATTGGACGCACCTCGGGTGGCTGGACGTTTCCCGAACTCACCTCGCTTCGCTCGATAAGTTCGGGAAACTTCCAGCCACCCTCGGTGCGTCCAATCACGGACTCACCTCCCTGCAAGTACGTTTGTTATAGAACCCACCTGCTGACGTGTGTTTAGGAGGTGGGTTCGAGATCGATGATTCGGCGTCGGCCATTATGAAGCGATTTGAAAAATTTCAGACGAAGATTTAAATAAAAAATAAATTAACTGTTTTTAATTGTTTTATAATTATTATTTTTTTATTTTGTTTGATAAAAATGGAATGTTCCGGGATTGGATCGGACGCACCTCGGGTGGCTGGAAGTTTCCCGAAAAGGTTCGGGAATCTTCCAGTCACCCTCGGTGCGTCCAATCCCGGACTCACCTCCCTACAAGTATGTTTGTTATAGAACGCAGGCTCACGTTTACGTCAGTGTTGCCATGGCAACACGATAAATTTAATTTTTATTATATTTTTTGTACAACACGCCAAAAATAGTTGAAAGATTATTGCTTTTACAGGGCCTTAGGAAGCTCTTTTCAATTGGGCTGAAAGCGAGGGCCGAAGGCCCGAAGAAATTTTTAAAAATTTAGAGTCTCTGAAATGCCATTTCCTGGACTTTGGGGAATATTTGACAGAATTCTGATGATCAGAAAACAGCGTTTTAGTATGTAGAAATTTACAATTCAGTAGTACTAAATTGGTGAAAGCGTATTTAATTAAGTAAACTAACTATATACTGGATAAGTTGCAGGAAAGTATAGGTAATATCTTAATTCTTTGCAGTTCTTCATGGATTAAATGATAAAGGTCTGCATGATTTTGAAAAATGAATGATAATTATTAGCAAATTATTGGGGGGGGGGCTGCAGTCCCTCCCCCAGCCCCCCGGTTGCTACGGCCCTGTTTTAACTATGTAACAATAGGTATGCTGCATACTGTAGGTATGTTGTTCTACATTTTGTGAGCTTTGATTTAATGTAAAATTTAACGTGAATCGCTTCGTAAAATGTTTTGAAATGTTCATTTTAATATTAAACTATAAACTGCTTTTTCCGATATAAAACTGTACGGGTTTTTATATAGTTTATAAAACAAAATAAATTCAAATTGTTAAGTAATTTCAGTTCGGTTTTCAAATGAATTTGCTCTCCTTTACGTTCTGCCTTTTATTCGTAATTAAATTAAACAGGATAATTTAGCAAACTTTAATACAGCTTCATTGAAAAGGAAAGCAGTGCATGTTTTACCATAAGCAGCCCAAAACGGCGTGTAGAAGTAGAATGCCCCAAATGTTTCCAAATGTCTATTTGGATTAAGCTCGCCCCATTCCTCTGTTATTTGTCGCGCACTGCAAGCACTCAATGAAAAGCACCGTTCTTATATATAGAATATACCTATATATACGCATTGTTCTTATGTATAGAATATACTTATTTATTGCCCTGCGACAAGAGCCGAGTTTCAAACGGCAAAAAGTGTCTAAAAGTCTTTCAAAACTATTCAAAACGAAGAAAAATAAACCTAAACTAAAGAAAAGGAGCAACTGCTGTGGTTAAAGAACTTCCTCAATATGTTTTTGTTATAGGGAAAGTCGAAATTACAAGGTAAATTTTACAATGTTTATAACTATTAAAGAAGTCAGGAATAGCTGTGTTCGAGGCTGTGTTTTGACTTTGTGAAGAGCTGCAAATCTTATTTGCAGATAGCCGAGGAATTTGACACCATCCTAAATAAAAAATACAACTAAAGCAGCCACAGATTTATATTTTTCCCTGAAAATTTCTGGGGGTTTTCGATAAAAAGAGATATATTCATGAGATGAAGCGAACTAAAAACGTACTTATCCATACTGTTTATTAATTTTATTGTTTTCATATTTGTTGTCTTTGTCTTTGATTAAATGACGAAATACCTCGTACTTTTTTTGAAATACTATCCAAACTGTGTTAGTATTCTAAATAAAAAGTGCTGTAGAGTAGTTTTACTAACCAAGCTTGAGAACATTTTTTACATGCTGCAGTTGTTCTTTTTTGCAAATGTTTCGGACTTTGTACTTTGCCCTCGCGTGACCTTTTTTCCCATTTTTTTACAAACGTACAATGCCATATAATAAAAAACTTACTGACCTCAACCGTTCGAACAGTACGGGAAAATATCCAACCTCGGTCTTGCTGTATTGACCTCGCTATCGCTCGGTCAATACAGCAAGACCTCGGTTGGATATTTTCCCGTACTGCCCTCACTCTCGGTCAGTAAGTTATTAATATATGAATATCATTGAGTGCTTGCGGCGCGCGACAAATAACAGAGGAATGGGGCGAGCTTAATTCAAATTGGCATTTGGAAGCATTTGGTGCATTCTACATGCCGTTTTGGGCTGCCTATGATTTTACGCAATAAATTAAAGCAACAAAATTCATAAACATTAAACATTTAAAGCAAACTTGCCCTATATTCCACGATTTTCCACAGTAAATAAATTCTTCTCATTTCTTCAAACAAAACTTGCTTCAAAGCTCGTTGTCAATCTCGAAACCAGAGCCCGCAATCCTCTGTGGAGGCTTGCTGAGGCTCTGGGAAACACCGGTGAAAGTCTGGCTCTGATTGGTTGGTTTTCAACATCCTCGTCCCCAGGGCGCTTGGGCCCTCAAAGTTTTTCAAGTGCTAATTATTATTCAAACTTTGAGCCGTATTTAGTTATTCCGATTTCAAACATCGTTTAAAATTAATATAAAGTTTATTTCTCTTTGTGTAGTATGTTTAAACATATCAATTGAAACACACAGCATAACATTAATAAACTTATTAAGCTTTCCTAGCTTCTCATATGAAACCAAAAGACTGTTCTATTTCTGATATTGATATGCTATAAATAACAAAATTAGAATAACAACAGTGCAGCATTACCATATTAGGTCATGATAAGCCGTTGCCTATAATATTTAAAATAACACAACAATCCATGATTTACCGTAATTAAACAAGCTAAAATAAATCACTACCAGTATCTTACAACAATACAAAACCATGGCAAATGTTCTTTGAAGAATTAAAGCGGCAGTGTCACCCGCTGCGCATCCGTTCTGCGCATAACAAACCGATTTTCGGAATATGTCGGAAAAGGTCGGAATCACAACATTCCGACTATAAAAATGTGCATATATTCACATTTTCGGCGGCGGAAAAGACCAAATAATTGCTTCATTTCACACAGGTTAACAATTATAGTTGTAAAAGTTCATGTGCCACCAAAAGAAACGAGAACAGTAACCGAGGTTGCCCGCGTAAGGCAAATATTAAAGAACGTTGTGCATTCTGCCAGCTGCAAGTGTGGAGAACTCGCAAAACTCCTCAGTCTCCTTGCAAGAATAGGGTATGTGTGCGAATCAAATGTACTTGACGGTATCTTTTATTTGTGTTTGCATATTATACCACATTATATTTACTGTTTATCCTACTTTGTTGTAGGAGAACGTTTGCGAAAGTACCATGTAGTGCATGTACTTCGTGACCTCACACAGCGTCCAACTGTCAATACTGAGAAAACGATGATACTGTAAGGTTTGTGAATTTCTAATACATCTTATTAAATTGTTTAAAACGTTTTTAAAATGAGGTATATTAAACATGTTTGAAGATGCGGTACAGTCCGTATGTAAACAAAGGCTTTGTTTACATTTCAGTATCCAAAATACTGAATTTTATTGGACGACTATTTATATTTTCATGATTCTAGAGTATAATAAATCAAGACACAACGATCAATCTTTGCAGGAATATAAAATGAAATAAAAACCTAAATAAACTGTTTGTATAATAAAAAGAGGCCTCCTGTGAGCAGATGCACAGATCTGACTGTACTGCATCTTTAAGTTGAATAACTTTGGCTGAAACTGTTGAATGGTGATACCAGGGGCAAAACTAGCCCCTTTTAATTGGGTGGTGTCTGCTAGAATTTCCCTGCGAAAGTCGATGATGCCCTGCAGCAAAATTTTTTTTGGCCGCTATTTCTCCCAAAAATGTTGGCGAGCGGGGCTGAGGTAGAAAAATTTGGGGGGGAGGTCGGTTTCCGGACATTCAAAAAAAGGGGCGAAAACATTTTTCGGACATAAACCAATTCAATTATGCAACAAAATATTTTTTCGGACAAATTCCTGTTAAAACATGCATGAAACCCTTATTTTTTTACCAATATCTGTAAAATTTAGGTCTATAAATTCTATTCAATTCCCTCTGGAAGCCACTGAATAACTCTACATTATATCATTTAAATTTTTTCATTGCCCTGCCAATCCAGATGATTTGTACTTTTGCCCCCCCCCTCAAGTTTCATCCCTGGGTGATACAGTATAAAGTCTAATTGGGAAGTGATGGCACAGACTGAAATTTGAAACGGGAAATAATTTCGCAAAGGCAGATTGCCGACCTGTCAGGACATCATGTCAGGGCGGCAGATTAACATGCTGTAGACCTGTTTGCTGATGGCAAATTGTTGCTGATCTGATTGTTCCTATTTCAGATGGCCTGAATATTAGCCAAATGACACATAATTATATATTTATATAAGTGAAATATCCTAACATTTTGTATAATAGCTATTTAGTAAATAAAAATAACCAACCCCTTAACCTTCTAATTGAAGCTAATTGCAATGCATATGGGGCTTGTGCATGTGAACCGTGTATCAGGCCATTTTGTTGTTCTCACCAAAAGCTTTGCTTTGATACCAAAGCGAGGCTTTGTGATGGAAACAATAGCATGACTTAAACCCATACAAGACCAATTATCTTGCTTTGATGCTAGAAATTGGTAAAGCTGTTGGATAGTCATTTCATTATTTTATTATAAAATACATTATTAAATTCACAGGCATTTATTCATACACTGGATGAAGACACAGTGAGAAAACTGGCAATTAGAAGCCTAAGAAGAGGAATAAGGAGTACGGATTATGTTCACACATGGGCTCGGCATGGATATTTGGGCAAAAGGAATCGCAGTGTTTGCCCCTCTTGTGTAGTCCTCAAAATAAGACTTTTGACTGGAGTTTATATGTGGTACAGAGAACAATAATATTCATGAACCTTTGGTAAACTTTCTAAAGCAAAGGGAATTTGATTTTAATAATTTATATTCTAATTTATGTACCTATGTATATAGTAAGTAATAAAGATTTTTTATATTGTGTACAAAATTGGAATGTGTCACTGTTACATCAGTTATGGCAAAAATCAGTATTTTCGTTTTGGTATGTCCACACCATTGCTGGTGTGATATATGTTGCTGGTGTGATATATGTGCAACAGTGGGGAGCAATGTTGCATTTAAGGAAACATGGCAGGTGACATAACCATCATCATGCAGTCAATCTGTTGCTCATTGGATAACCTTTGAAATGAGAACTGGAATGCACTCGAATCCTTTTTCAACTTTCACACTTTTCACATCCCACTGCCTGGTCCTTCTGTTGTTGGAAAGGCTCATGACTTTGTAGTTTGTACAGGTGACTCAACACGAGAAAGGGTTTGTCATCTGACCTTTATTTTTAATGGTGTAGATGTTTGGGGTTCTGAAAGCAGGAAATATGAAATATTATACAGCACTAATACTTGTGGTCAATGCTGTAAATTAATATACAAATATAAACCAATTCTTTTTATAATTTTTGACACAATTTTTCTTTGTCTAATATACCTTGCAAAATCGTATTTTGAAACTGAATATTAATATTACTCCCATTACAAAGCACATCCTATATAAAAGTGAATGTCCTCTTCATACCTTGGCTGATGTTTGCTTGTTCTTCAAACCATATGAGACTCATTGTGTTCTACTTCCGTTGTCAAGACAGGACTCAGTTGCCACCAGAAAGGTCCAGAATCGATGTGCTTGAATTTCGTCGTTGTTTTGGTAGTATTTTTGCAGACGCTGATTCCCCTAAATACAAAGCAAAATAAATTGCACATTAGGCTCGTTTACTCTTCGAAATATATTGAAAATCGTATTGTAAACCTACCTGCGGCGAAATTCCAATGACAACAGATGTGCAGCAAAGTTAGTGTCATTTGAATGTTCATATCCACCACTTATTTTGGCCTCTTGCCACGTATCAAATGTCTTATCACTTAAATAGATCCTTCTGTGCTCTTTCTCCCATAAATTTCTGTACTCTTTTGGGCTCGAAAACACTTTTTTTCGACCAGCATTTTTCCTTGAACCCCCGTACTGAGTCAGCATGACGCCCCGGGCAGACGCCATATTGAAATTCGATACACTTGAAAAAGTTGGGTCAACTTTTTCAAGTTGATCTATGCGCAGAACGGATGCGCAGCCGGTGACACTGCCGCTTTAAAGTCGTAATAAGCTTAAACAACGGCATAATTCATGTTTGACGGCAGTAATGTCTATTTATGAATGTCGAGCGGAGTACTGGATCCAAATGTACTGATTTTCGTGCAAAAGTCGCCGGTGTTTCCCAGAGCCTCAGCAAGCCTCCACAGAGGATTGCGGGCTCTGGTTTCGAAATTGAGCTTGTTGTGTGAAACGTTATTTTCCAAATATATGTTTTTGAAAATTGAAATCTTGCTTATCCCACTTCTGGCGAACAGCCATATTTTTGAGATCAGTGAGGATGACCACCCACAGTTAGTGACCGCCCGCGCTCATTGATGAACTTTAGACTTGGCTAATGCTTCCCTTTCCCCGGGTGTAAATAGCCGGGGGGGAATTAGTACCCTCGCAGGGCGCTTCACGCCGTGGGCTCGGGGATAAAAACAAATTCAGCCAAATTTGATAGACGTTTCTTTTGCCCACGGCTGCGGTCTTAGCGCCAGTTCCAAAAACGTTCACATTAAACTGTTCAATGCCTTTTGAGTTATCCTGCTAACTAACAAACACACACGCGATAAACAAACAATCGCAAATATATAATACGATTAAAGACATGCAGTCACCTCCGAAAAATAGGGTAGAATATTCTAATGGTAGGAGCAAACTGGATATTGTAGGAATAAAGACTCAGCCACAGGAGGGAAAATACATGCGCTAATATAGTGCTTGCATGGGGACGAGAGGCAGTCACCAAACAATCTTCTACCAGATATAACCATTGCGTAGAATTCGTGGTCATATCAGGAATGTTACAAACATAACTTAAATGCTTGAAAATGTTTTATAAAAAGTACCAACTGTATCTGAAACAAAAACATGTAGGAACTATAATGGACTATCACCTCAAATTACTAGAAAATACATGCATGCAGAAACCCTCGCCTTGCTGACAAAACCATTGTATTTTCCGAACATGAAGTATCTAAAGTAGTTGTCATGGTAACACGATAATTTTTAAGAGCATTCTTACAAATGAAATATCGCCTAGAAATATCACTTTTAGTTACACAATTCTCAATTTCCCAACATATACATGTTAGGTATGTTATTATATATATATACGTAATATAAGCTTCGATTTAAGGTAAAATTCAACCACAAACGCTTCGCAAAACGTTTTAAAGTGTTCTTTATGAAACTATAATAAACTGCCTTTAATTAAATGGCTTTATCGATAAACTTTGAGTTTGCAATAAAATGATTTCAAATTCTCGCATGCAAATAACTTTGCTTTCTTTTTTATTTAAAAAATTCAATTTAATAAAAGAGGAAATCAATATTAAAGATACACTGAAATTATATGCTGTCTTGTTTAGTTGTTTCATATACGCAAAGAGCCGTCGGGTTTTAAAGCCATTATAAAATCAATATTTAAAACAAACTTACCTTCGTTATTACGTCGGCTCCCTTCTTTTAGTCGATTCTTTCGCCCTTTCTGAGAAATCTCTTGAAATTTAAAAAATCTTGCAAAAATGCGAGCAAAAATGATTAGAAATATATTTGCAAGGAATTTGTCAATCATCAAATCAAGAAATGTTTGCTATTTCACTGTCGTCATGCAGTCGTTATAATGCAAACTTTAAATTGGACCAATCAGTGTCCGCTATTCATGACAGTCCGCCATATTTTCGAGATCAGTGAGGATGACCACCCATCGTTGGTGACCCACGCCCGCGATAGTTGGTGAACTTTAGACTTCGCTAATGCTTTCGTTTCCCCGGGTGTAAATAGCCGGGGGGAATTAGTACCCTCGCACGACACTTCGCGCCGTCGGCTCGGGGATTAAAGAGCGATTGGATCCTGTTGTTTTCAGGTTGCAAAAGCGTAATATGTAGAGTGGATGAAACCATAAAGTGGATGTAACCACTAATTATAATCGGCGACTTTTAAAGTGAACAACGTTGATTAAGATTTGAAGATCGAAAGCCAGAAAATGTAGAGCATTTGGTATTCTTATAAGCCTTAATAGTCGTTGATGTTGCGCAGAGCGTAAGACGTAGTTTTAAGGTTGTACAACAACTGAGCTCGAGCATAACAGATCATGATAATGAGCATGTAGTTGACAATTACTTCAACTCTGAATTTTTATTCAATGCTCGACCGCTCTTGTAAACAATCAGCATTACTTAACGAATAGATAATACAGCGAAAAAATGTTGACCATTCTACATTGGAAATTCTGCGCAATACTTAAATTATGCATACAATCTATCCCCAATGGTAATCATGTCAAAACGCTCTTTCTAAACATATAACCTAAAAAACCTACCCAGTTCATGAGGCAATTCTTCACAACAAATGGCAAGTGATGTACTCAGACCAGATAAGACAGAAGTACTGCAAGATGCACCGATGGCTAAACCATCGATAAAGTTGTGGAGTCCATCGCCTATCACGATCATCCATGCTACTGTAGCAATCTTTTTCTTCTGCAGCACATTTAGTTTCTTTTCTTCTGTTATTTCAGGAAACGTTTCTGGGACGTGCGACAGTCCACCAGATTCAGTTGGTAGATGGTGACTATGCCCATGGGCATCATTTGTATAAGTCTTCATTTTTATTTCATTCGCATTTGGATCGGACTATCAATATAGGTAAAATAACAACGAGAGTGCATCAGTGGAGGACGGGCAATAGGACAGGTGTAGTGTTGTTAAATAGAAATTTAGAAATGGTATTATACTTACTCATGCATTATAATTATGCTTAAAAGATCAGAATATTCATAACTTCTTATTTTGTTTCATAAATAGTTCTTTTATTAATATTCGAAACAAATTCCATATCTGCTTCGTCTGCCATCGCCATGTTTACTCGTCCCAATCTACATGCTGCACGGCATTGCCGCCCCTCCTGGCAAAATAATAAGCAAGCGAGAAAAATTAAGGAGAAAATAAGAGGGTAGGAACATTGTGGGCGTTTCGTGGGCGTTTCATCGTTCTGGGCGAATCGGCTTTCGCAATCTTGTATCACATGACTAATTCAAATCGTCATAGGCGGGAAGCAAAATTGCGTCATCCCTACGTCAAATAAAACGTTATAAAACGCGTCGAGCATACGTTTGTGCCATATATGGAAGTTATGGATACGTTTGTGCCATATATGGAAGTCTCACTGCATCCAGCTTATGACAACGATGTTCCTACCCTCTTATTTTCTCCTTAATTTTTCTCGCTTGCTTATTATTTTGCCAGGAGGAGCGGCAATGCCGTGCGGCATGTAGATTGGGACGAGTAAACATGGCGATGGCAGACGAAGCAGATATGGAATTTGTTTCGAATATTAAAGAACTATTTATGAAACAAAATAAGAAGTTATGAATATTCTGATCTTTTAAACATAATTATAATGCATGAGTAAGTATAATACCATTTCTAACTTTCTATTTAACAACACTACACCTGTCCTATTGCCCGTGAGTGGAGGCGGATTTTTACTACGATTAAGATAGCACATATCACATGCATTATAATTGTACCAGTTATATTCTGACTTCTGCACATCACATTGTTAAGATCGAACAATTCAATGAACGAGGTTGCTGCTAAGTCGATAGTTTTCATCATGGACGTCAGTAGATACCACCCTCCCCCCCCCCTCCCACACACACACACACACCAAAACGGTGGGCAGTTAAAGGAGCTGACAATGGCGTAACCATAGAATGATTAACAATGGAAACGTCATTATTAGAAACGTCACAATACAGGGCGTATAAAAAAGACGGAGTCCTCACATGAAGTGTAAATTTCAAAGCGAATATGAAAGTTAGACGTTTATACTTGCATTCTTTCGAAATCGCGATCTTTCGGCTATTTTATATACTTCAATTTATAAATTTTAGAGTTATTGCTGGCGAGCTGTGTCAATTTAAGTAAGTGCAATTGGAAAATTAAAAAACGTAGAAGTGTTGAATTCACAATTTATTTAAACGTTCCAAAAAATAAGTTGGAAGTACACATTTACTCAACGTGGCCTCCATTTCTAAGTCCACACAAGTTCGTTCTTTGTCTCATATCCAAGACAACTCTTCTTCTTCCCGAGTTTCCTTTATTTCGATTTAAACTTCATGGGGTGGTTCTTCCATTCAATGCATGCAGCCGGTATTTGTTGACATTACGCCAAACGCTCGATGAAAATTACGTCCTGGAAAAGCTATTTGAAATTGTCTTAACACTGCAACAACGCTTTTTGTTTCGAAATACTTTTCAACAATGAATGTTCTTTCTGGAATTGTTAGCTTTGGTATTATAAATGGTGATTGTAAAGTTTTAAACAACAACGTTCTAAATTTTAGCAAACTACCTTTAATTAAGTCGATTGTATGTATCCATGCACTTGAAAAACCCCGTCGTACCAACACAACTACCAAAGTTTGGGTTAGAAAGCGAAATCCATCAAACATGCAGGCTTTTGGTCGCTTCCTCTCAAATCTGGATTGGAGTGTATTTTCCCGGTTTTTCTTCTTGACAAAGTATGTGTGATCTGTTCTATGACATCATATAACATAATATGACATCATATGACATCATATAACATAATTGACATATGATCCGATTGACGAATAGCGGGAACAATATCTGAATCTTTGTACCAACGCTTTATATTGGTAAGTATTAAATCCAAAGTCGCTTTTCCCCGGGTTGGTTTCTTAACAATTTGTTTGAGAGATGAATTTCTGCAAAGACGTTTAGTGTCAAACTGGTTAAAGTCGTCCATGACGATGACTCCTGCTCCAGGGTTTTGTAATAATATTTTGTCCAAAGAAACAATAATGTACTCATATAGTTCGTTATTATCTGCAAGAGGTCGGTTGTATAACACACAAGCAATAATACATGAAATTTCTCTTGGAAGTCGGTAAGGTCTAAGTTTTACCCACAAACACTCATGGTTAGGACAGCCAAGATTTGGAAGCGTCAGGAAAGGAATTGAAGACTTAACAAATACGCAAACTCCGAAACGATGCGTTTAAATTACATAGGTGATCAGTGAAAATTCTCCACGCTGATTGGTTGCCGTTGAGGTGATTATAACACGATAATCACCTAAGCGATTTTCAAAATGGCGGCAGAAGCCGTTTGTCAATTAAATGACGAGGAAATGTGTATTTTTTATTTTTTTCCAAATAATCACCTATATGAAATTATACTAAAACAATTGTTCACCTCAGGCTCGGTGATTATCGTGAATAACAACCTCGACTTCGCCTCGGTTTTTATTCACCTATTTAACAATTATTCACCGAAGGCGAGGTGATTATCGGAGAATATTCGCCGAGACAAAGTCGAGGTGACTATTCCCCGATAATCACCGAGCCTGAGGCGAATAATTGTTTTAGTATTTTTGTGTTTTTGGGACTGAATTTATTTTAATTTCGCTTATTTCGTTATCAGTATTATGGCCACAAAACGGCTAGCCGCCATTTTGAAAATTTCGGTTTTTTCACCCTTAGGTGAAAACAGCTTATTTTTCACCCTGCTCGGTTTCCTTTGTTCTTATCGAGGAATATATTCAATATTTCCCTCTAATCAATTTCCGTTTAATAATCCCCTCTAATATTCACCTGCAATTAATAATCCCCTCTAATATTCACCTGCAATGTCTTTGCATCACAAAAAAAATGAGAAAAAAACAACATAACGAAGGCAATATGACATTAAGAATTATTTCTATTCTTACTCATTAATGCGACCTCGCAGTGTGAAAAATAAGTACGTTATTTTGAGGCACCTCGGGGATATGTGTTTATTCACCTCGGCTCTACGCGCCTCGGTGAATAAATCACATATCCCCTCGTTGCCTCAAAATAACCTATACTTATTACGTCAAATTTGACCAATCAATTTGTAGGATTTGTTATATTCACTTGTACAAAAATACAAAAAACAATTATTCACCTCAGGCTCTGTGATTATCGTGAATAAAAAGCTCGACTTCGTCTCCGTTTTTATTCACCGATAAACTCCTCCCCTTCGGCGAATAATTGTTAAATATTTTGATCTTAGATTCCCATTTGAAGTACTGTATACAGCTATTTCAATTAAGGTTGTCCACGAGCAAAGCGGAAAAGTCGAATACGAGGCCGTTGGGAATCGTTAACAAACAAGACGCCTGCTCAGGCGTTAACACTGGCCTGAAAATGGCAACTTTCGTGGTAGAGTGTAATGTGTAGTAGAGAAGTAGACAGGGATACAGTAGGTCTGGACCATATAAATACAACCAATAAATACAATCATGATCAGCAACTATCAACCATAATATACCAAGACGCCGGATCAGGCGTACCCTCCGGCTATGGGCAATTCAACTTGACAGGCCAGGCCCACTGTAACTGATCATCAACTATCAACCGTAAATAATGATGGGCCAATAATAGCGAAGAAATTATATAGTCCTTGATTTTTAATGCCATTATATGGCTCGTTTCAGGTGCTAAAGAGTTCATAGACATAGACTATTCTTCTAAAAAATATGCCAATTTGCTTCCATTTATAAGATAAAACTGATCCCAACCCCAAGCCCTTCTCTAACCCCAACCAGTAAAAATCTAATAAACAATTTGAGAATTGAGAAAGTGGGGGGAAAAGCTGGATCTTGTACCAAAAACAAATCGAACAGTACCACGTTTCACTTCGCCGCACGCAATGCTACCTCGCTGAATACAATCGAAAACATACAGTGGTGGAAATCTTGGTGGCCGCCCCCCCCCCTCCCCCCACCTTCACGGAAAGTTGACGAATTTTCGGAAATTTTGACCTAAAAGAGGGCTAAAAACTATCTTTTCGAGTGCAAATGGGGGGGGCGGGAATTTGAAAGTTTTGTCGGAAATTTAGGAGGCTTTGCCCCCCCCCCCCCGGAAAAAGTGAATTTCCGCCACTGAAAACATACATTTTATAGTGTAAATATATGATGAATTGGAAAGAAATTTGGTGCAAATTAATGTAATTAGGTGCAAATCTATACTTATGCAAATGAATACAAGAGCACAACGCATGTTTATGAGCCTACAACGTATATTTATACTTGTTAATTAAAAAGTCGAACTGTCAAACCTTTAACTTGTCCTTGTTTATATTCCACTATATTGTATAAATTCGCTGGGTACAAATTTTGGGGTTTTCGAGTCGTTACACAAAGAAAAACACACTAATTCAACACGCAAGAAAGGCCAGAGTGCGACACAACGTAAAATCCATGGGGAACCGGCACAATTCTTTGAAAATTCAACGAAACTGTGTGAAATATATACTAGATCGCTCAGTGAAAATCCACCATTTTGAAACTGAACTGAATATGTCACTGGAGCACGTTGCACCCTGAGCCTGCGATGATCTAACGCAAACTCGATTTCTCGACTACGAAAAACCCCAGAAAATTAAAGAGGGAATTAAGACACTTGGCCTACAGGCCAGTGTAATTAATGAATTTTCAAAGCGATTCCCAGCAGCCTTTCGCGCTCGTATTCGACTTTTCCGCTTTGCTCGTGGACAACCTTAATTGAAATAGCTGTATATGTAAAATACAAAACGACATAATTATACTTTACAGACAGGGCCGTTCCTAGCGCGATAATTGGGGGGGGGGGGAGGTGTATATTCATATATTCGTGTTCTGCCCGACGGATTTCTTTTGAAAGCGATTGTTTTTACGGCATGTGAACATGAATATGTGAACAATTTATACACACACACACCCAATTATCGCGTCTAGGAAAGGCCCTGTTTACAGATAATTTTCAAAGCAACATTGAACAGAAAACTTACGTTGAGGGTTTTGAAATAGAGGTACATTTTCATAACACTTTCCAAAAGAAAGAATATGTATATCCCAACTGCAACCATAACCAATTTCCACATATAACTCAAGTCCTTGTGGCCGAGTTGTAATGCCTGAAAAGGATAAAAACATTGTACAAGATATACCAACAACCGTGGATAATACCGAGAAATTTCCATAAGATTAACGCCTGCCAGGTTCTGTTCCTTAAATTTCACCGCTTTTTCCTTGTGGCAAAAAACGAAGTTCATGCAGTACAGTGAGTTTAAACACTCGTAATTTTCTTTAAACTTTTTGCTAGAACTTCGTGAAGACAATACTATTTCCAATCTTTTGACTACGTTTGACCGCGGTGTTATATATTTAGCATTCTCAATTTTGTCCGCATGCGACCCAACCACTTTATTTGCTAAAATGCACGTTTAATCTTCATCCCCGAGCCGGCGGCGCGAAGCGCCGTGCGAGGGTACTAATTCCCCCCGGCTATTTAAACCCGGGGAAACGAAAGCATTAGCGAAGTCTAAAGTTCACCAATGAGCGCGGGCGTCGGTCACCAACGATGGGTGGTCATCCTCACTGATCTCAAAAATATGGCGGACTGTCATGAATAACGGACACTGATTGGTCCAATTTAAAGTTTGCATTATAACGGCTGCATGACGACAGCGAAATAACAAACATTTCTTGATTTGATGAGTTGATGATTGATAAATTTCTTGCAAATATTCTTCATTTTTGCTCGTATTTCTGCAAGATTTTGTAAATTTAAAGAAAGAAAGAGCGAAAGAATCAGCTAAAAGAAGGGAGCCGACGTTAACGAAGGTAAGTTTGTTTTAAATATTGATTTTATAATGGCTTTAAAACCCGACGGCCTTTGCGTATATGAAACAACTAAACAAGACAGCATATAATTTCAGTGTATCTTTAATGTTGATTCCCTTTTTTATTATATTGAATTTTTTAAATAAAAAATAAAGCAAAGTTATTTGCAAGCGAGAAGTTGAAATCATTTTATTGCAAACTCAAAGTTTATCGATAAAGCCCATTTAATAGTTAAAGGCAGTTTAGTTTTATAAAGAACACTTTAAAACGTTTTGTGAATTGTTTGTGGTTGAATTTTACCTTAAATTGAAGCTTGTATTACGTATAATTGCATACCTAACATAAATATGTTGGGAAATTGATAATTTTGTAATTAAAAGTGATATTTTTAGGCGATTTTCATTTGTAAGAATATTCTTAAAAAATTATCGTGTTACCATGACAACTACTTTAGATACTTCATGTTCGGAAATACAACGGTTTTGTCAGCAAGGCGAGGGTTTCTGCATGCATGTATTTTCTAGTTTATTTTATTATACGTTCCATTTTTGTGATATATTTCTGAAACCATTTTATTATTTCCGCACATATTTGAGATTTAATATATTTCCCAGAATATACATGTATATATTATTGTTTTGTCTTAATTTGAACGATGTTTTCTATTAGATGTTTGCAAATTTCGCTGTGACAATTGCAGCATGTGCTCCACCTTTGAATTTACTATATGAGTAAATTCTTAAACACGTCCGAATTTATCATTATGATAAATTCGCGGCACATTTTGAATTTATCATAATGATAAATTCGCGGCATCTAACCCCTAACACCAGGGCGCTTATATATAGGGTGGCGCAACGAGAGCGCGCGCGCTGATCGACGTGTGATGCGGAAAAAAACTGGGGCGAGTACGATTTTCAAGGAAATTGAAGAAAACCGCGATTTTGAGTTGTTCAGTTCGTCTGGCCATTTATCTCAATCGTTTTGGTGTTAGAATGGTTTAAATGGCAAAATGGCTAAACTATTTCTTTGGCTAAAGGGTCTGTGTTCTGTAATGGTAAAATAGCTTGTACAAGAGAATTTATGGTCGATAATGTCCGTGCCTTTTTATGACTTCCACGGAGACTAAATTTCAAATGAGGATATCTTGTGTGAATCTACTGCCAACACCTACGAACTGAGGTATGTCAAAGTTCATTATTTTATGTGTACGTACTTGAGTCTTTTATAAAAATCGAAGTTGATTCTTAGAAGATATCATGGCTGAAATAAGACCCTTTTCCAAGCCCTGTTTTTCCCACTTTTGCCGATCATATATATTTTGAATGATGTAGACAATACGAACTATTTTGACCGGCTGTTATTTGCATTAGTTCTGTCGATGTATTGCTAAAGTTTCATAGGTATTGAAGCATTTTTAATATGTTTTCAGAGCTTAGTTATCACATAGTTCTGTGCAGCACGAAACTAGTTATTTGAGAATATGCTGGGCGCTTCATCGGTAAAAATTCTGCCAACACCGTAGTTCTTCTTCGGATGCTAGACGAGAAGTATTATGTTTGATATTCGTTGAAATAAAATAGTTTGAGATTGATTCTTGCCCTCTATCTAATTTGCAATCTGGGGTACTCGATCGAAGGTCGATGTTTCTTCTATCGAATTTTGAGCAAAAGCTGATCATATGCATTGCTTTCGCACTTTCAAAAGTCTTTTGCAGTGAAAATGTCGTCAGCAGTTTTAACCGAAAAATTTGGAAAATCTAATATTTTAAAACAAAAACTGCAAAATCAATTTACTTTATCCAAAACTTCGAGAGTGTTTAATAGAGTTATTGCGTACTATAATTATAATAATACTGGGTATAAAATAGATTTGGATATTGCCGTATATTTTTACTCATGGTTTCCACGAATGTTTGTGTTTTAGACAATACGATGTGCTGATGAACAAGGCTGAAAGATTACACTGTGTTGGAAAAAATGTTTGATTATTTGATGTAAAAGTCTAGGAGTCAGGTCTTAAGTTCTCTAGTTTAAAGTCTAGGCTATACTCTGCTCTAGTGCTAAGTTATTTTATACGACGTTCAAAAATAATGCAATATGATCGACTACAAACTGTATATTAAACTATAACATGATATTAAAGTGAAATTTCGTTCGTCTTATTTAATGTTGTTTAGTTTATGTTTGATAATGATAATATAAAAGCTACCGACAACTTATTCAGTTGAAACAATGTTAAAAACTGGTTAATTTCACAATTTTTAATATTTGTTTTTGCTATGCAGGTTGCTAAGACATAGAGCGATGTTAAGTTAAGATTGACTACCGCTGACCGTGTAGTGCAGGAAATTACTTACCAGGCCCCGCATCACACGTCGATCAGCGAAATCACTGGCGTTGCGTCGCCCTATATATAAGCGCCCTGCCTAACACTAACCCCAACCCTAAATTAACCCCTAACCACTAACCTTTTAAACTTTTTAAACTTTTTAAACTTTTTTAACTTTTTTAACTTTTTTAACTTTTTTAATTTTTTTAGCTTTTTTAACTTTTTTAACTTTTTTAACTTTTTTAGCTTTTTTAACTTTTTTAACTTTTTTAACTTTTTTAACTTTTTTAACGTTTTTAACTTTTTTAACTTTTTTTTAAACTTTTTTTTCTTTTTTAACACTTTTTTAAAACTTTTTTGTGAAAATTTTGAAAATCTCGCCACCCCCGCGCGACCAGCCTCCCTTCTAGTTAATTAGTTAACTCTATTGATATTAATAATGCACCGCGAATTTATCATAATGATAAATTCGGACGTGTTTAAAGTGCCTATGACACGAAATTTCACCCCAAATGTTTATGATTGCATAATTGTAAATATCACTTAAAATGACTTAATAATTTCTTTTATAGAATTTTGGTCACTTGCTTCCTTTGCAAAATATTCAACTTTGTTTCATATGCAAATATCACCGGTATGGCGTCACATCGTATAATGACATGTTGTAAACGCAATATTTTACCTTGATAAAATCTTTTTACAAACAAATACAGAGGGTTATATTAATTACCAGTTATGATATTAATACATATAGACGGGCAATTTTTAATAACGGTTTTTTAGATATATAGGTATTCGTCATAAAAACTATATTTTTCTGAAAACTCATTATGCGATGTGATGTCACACCGGTGATATTTGCATATGAAACAAAGTTGAATATCTTGAAAAGGAAGTAGGTTACCAAAATTCTATAAAAGAAATTATTAAGTCATTTTAAGTGATCTTTACAATGCAACCATAAACCTTTGGGGTGAAATTTCGTGTCATAGGCACTTTAATTAAGAATTTACTCATATAGTAAATTCAAAGGTGGAGCTCATGTTGGACAATTGTTATAATGTTATTATTTTAAATTACTCTTCTTCAGGCACTATGTTTGCAAATCTAATGTGATTAACATTTTTAATGTCATGGCTTTGCAATTACATTTATACCGTTGTCTGTCGACAAGATTGAGTTTGGGGTTAATGTATAACTGTGCAATGGGGGCTTAATTTTCCTATAGTAGTTCTTGACTGGGGGTAATACAGTATATAGACGAGGGGGTTAAATAAAGGCTGAATAGATTTCCCTGTTCTTTTTCTTTAAGAGGTGATCTTGTAGTGGTGGGTCGTAGCACAAACTCTTCGAGGAACGGGTATGCAGATTCCCAAAACGAACAGCAAAACAAAGTAAACCACAAACAACTAAATTTATCCTTTGCAGGCTGCATGATATTATCATCAAATATATATACAAAACGTCTGGAAAAAGTGTGCATGTTTATATTATGTCGTGTATTCATGCAAACTTTTCTTGGAATAACCTTATAGTTTTATAGTTGACGTTTATTATAAATTATGATAATCGCTTTCGATTGAATATACGCGATCTTTATCAAACGTTTAATAGTATTATTTTTTGCCATAAGTCTATATATTGAGAATAATCTACCTAATAGAGAAAGTAACTGCGGCTAAATGGAAGTTAGGATCTTATTTTCCCTGCGCTTCTTGACTGGGAGCTTATTAGAAGTGAACCCAAATGGAGACTAGGCGCTAAATAAATGAAATACGGCACTTGGGTTTTAGGCATTTGGGTTTTGTGAAACGATATTTCCCTTGAGATTATTAGTTTGTTTTACTAACATCCAAAACATGTACAAAACAAAGACATTTTATAATGTAAGCGAGGTAGCAGCGCTAAACTGGCCTCAGAGAAAATTGCTGAATTACGTATATATATATACTAACCTTTTTAGGGAGTTTTTAGAGAAAAGAAAGCAATGGGAACACGGGAATAAAGCAAAAAATAGGGTATATAACTGAACATGTAAGCTTGAGGAATACGGGAACATGGTGAAATCTTCTTTGTGAACAACGGAACAAAGGAAAACTTTTCAAGAGAACCTTTCTAAACTATTTCACCTTGTCTTTCAACACTATTTCACCTTGCTTACGCGCTTAATGGATAATTTAAATTAACTGGACCAATGTTACTTCAGAGCGAAAGTGGATCAATGTTAGTTCAGAGTTATGTCATTTTAACTGGCCCAATATTACTTCAGCGTAATAAAACAGAAGCATTGCGCAGTAGCTTAGGCTATAACAGATCGCTGAAAAAATTTGCTGAATTGCGTATACTTTTTCAATTGATTGTATTTCACCATTTTTCGTTAATTAATAGTTAATTGCCCAATGTTACGGCAGGGGGGAATCTGGTTGGCCGATGTATCCGCAGAAGTGTTTTGTTATTTCAAACTGAAAGCACTCTCCTCACATACGAATGAGGTAAAATTATAATCGTAAACTGCATGTTTCAGGAATTCAATCCAATTCAATTCAATTCACAAAGGTGAAATGCACATACATGCACTATAACGACGGTGCCACTAACGCACGCAGTCTATCTTTCTGTCTGTCTGTCTGCAGTGTAAATATAAAGCTTACATGTGGAATAAGATGAAAAATGCCGCTGCCGCTGAGTACACCAACAGCAAGAGAAATCATGGCCATTAGAATGGTTTGAAATAAATTTGAGGCCATGAATGGAACCACGACCGCACCCAGTAGTGAACCAAGGCTGATAACTGTCACAAATAGGATCCCATAGCCCCAGGCTGTAAAATGCAAAAGAAGAAAACAAATGCATTGAGTATGTAGGATAGCCCACACGATTCACTCATGAATTCCTAGTTTTTAATTATATCACCCTCTTCTGGACACTTAGCTGAAATTATTTATGTTCTATCAAGGAAGAGCTATGTGATGACTTAAAAAAAAAATCCTTTTGTATAATTTAAAAAGCGAATTCTAATCTACATTTGGTAGAAAAGATACATGATATTATTCAGAGGTGCCTTCCACCGTCCACCAATCGTAAATTCTTAGATAAATGTTTAGTGTGCACTGCCTGAGACGGATGCTATTTCTGGACGTTGCCGCATCCTCTTTTGCGCACCCCAAATAATCTGCCTATAGTTCCCCCTTTTAGTAATACATATCTTTCCCGTGTCCTCTTTCCACTAACATCCCAGACTTCCTTCCCTATTCTCTAAGATTAAGGTCCCTCTCGCTGAGTAATGCACATATTTTCCAAGAAAATTTAATTTCTGCCAGGCATATTAGTTATTTTATGCATAATTATCAATTTACCAGTGGTGGTGCATGGTCATTTTCTTGTAAAATACTATACTTAGACAAATTTTTCCTTCCAATTTTTCCAACCACCCCTAAAAGCAACCCTTCTAAACACCTGATAAGCACTTCAGAAAGGCTGTCGGTTTTCGTTTTCGGAAGTTAGAGCTATGTCGGCACTGCCGTTTCAGGGGGAGGGGGTCATTTTCAGGACTTTCGCCCCGGATACAAGTTTTGGGACATATGCCATGTTGACCGCCAACGTCATTTTACCCTAAAACAGTTGAGATTACCTGTGCTAAATGAAACGCATACAAACATCTATACAGGTCCTAGACTAATTGCTACTTTTTGTTTCCTTCGAACAAATGTGTACCACGCTACTAATATGCATTTCAAATCATGCATTTCGTGTTTGTTTCAAGTATAAATGCCTATAAATGCCATATAGTACTTTTTATTAACCTCGCTTTCTTGGTCTTGAGAGAGAAATATCGGACCTCGGTCTTTTTGTACAAACCTCGCCCTACGGGCTCGGTCTGTACAAAAAAGACCTCGGTCCGATTTTCTCTGTAACGACCTCGCGCTTGGTTAAGGGACCGGTCATAAAGTAACTGCTAGGGTGGGCCGGAGGAAATAAGGATGGGCCATAAAATTATTTTCATCAGTTTGGGTGGGCCATCAATTTGTTTTTGTGCAAATAGATGGACCATGAAACACATATATAGCCTGTTTGCACTCAATACATACTACAACTACTATATACACAACATTCCTATTAAAATAATCAACACTCAATACAACTGAAAATAATATATGTATTCAAAATAATAGATAGTGAATTCAAAATGAAATAAAAACATAATCCTGTTATTATTAATATCATTAATATTTTGTAAGTCACATCTACAAGCATCGATTTTTAAATATCCACATCATCCTTCCTCAGAATCAGATTCTGATGACATAGAGTCAGACTGAGGAGATGATGTTTCCAATTATTTTTTAACAAAAAAATCAAGTGTACATTGTTTTTTCCCACAACTGTTGTTTTTCACTTTCTTTTGACTTGTTACTTGTCTTTTTGCTTCTCCAATGAAGTTACAATTTCATTTACTTGTTCTACAGCATCATCTTCAAAATAATCTTGGCAATTAAAGTTTTTAATGCTGTCATATGGTATTATGGTGCCTTGGTTTAAGTTGTTTAATAGGCTCAGCAAACACATCTACTTGAGAGATTTTTTCAGTACATGCATTCTCCAGAGACTCATACTTGATTCTGCCACTTGTAACAATCTTTGTGACATCACACGCTCTTGCGGTTTTTCTTGCATTATCTCTCTGCATCACTTTTGAAGGAAATGTTCCTGCAGTTAATAAATTACAATTAGTAATGATTGTTGTGTGACTTCCTCTAATTTCACCTTCATCGATTTTAGTCCATCCAATTTGTTGTTGTAAAATTTTAGTTCATTGGCTTTCCAGGATATGGAATCCACAAATCTTTGGCTGGTGCCGGACCTACAGTTTTTCCAAAATTATCTTTGTTTTTATTAATATCCGCCAGGCAAAACATGTTAAAATATATATACTTACAAGTTGTAACATATTTGTGGGAAACACTCGACATTGGTGTATTATACTGGCTTGCCGTGTCTTTATCCTGTACTCCGTGTTTGGTCTTCGAACTGAAATTTCTATTGCAGATACAAATCGTTTTCGATGACCTGACTTGTCATACAGCACAACTAGTACTTCTTTCAAAACATCAATAATTTCCTCTGGCTGCATGTCCAAGAGTTGCTTTAGATCATCATACCCAAGCTCCATGAACTTGTTGACAACTTGACATATACTGTGAAAAGTTGTTCTTGTCAAGAAATGTTTGAATTTTATCCGCCATGTTGTTTTAAAACCGTGACGATTGAATCAGCATGCCAAAAGTACAGCTTTTGCACACAACTACTTCGTGTATATAGCTTTACATAAAGTGGCACCTATGTCCTATCAATCTACATTCTAATGTTTATGCGTTTTATTCATGATCACGATGATGCAAAAAAATGAAAAATCCAATAGAATTCGCACTGATATCCAAGAAAACTCCCGTTTGTCAACGACTGTGGTTGGTTCACTGCAAAATTGTAACCTGAGTGCTGTGGAAGATTTACTAACTTCAAAGATCGAAGCAATAGACGTGCACAAATGCTGAAATGCACGTCAGAGTCAGAGACTGTACTAATTGAAGGCAGTATCACGAGACCTTCTTTGTACTATTTAAAATATTAATATAAAGAGAGATATCAAATAAAGATTCTTCAATTTTAAATCAAATCTATCTGGTGTGTAAACTACTAAATATGTAACCAATTAATTTCTTCTAGAAAGTTATGACAAAGTGACTCAGTGCACGGTTTGGTCAAAATGACTGCTATACTGTACATCTTCATATATAGCAGGATGGGTCGTGAAATTTTTCCAATAAGCTACGATGGGCTTTGAAATTTTTTCTTGGCTCTCAGGATGGGCCACCAGTTTTTTTTTGAAAACTTATTTTTCCCTCCGGCCCACCCTAGCAGTTACTTTATGACCGGTCCGTAATAAGAAGTTATTAATTGGTGACTTATTCAAATATTCGTGTGAGATGCCATATCAAATCCGACAATTCGGGCTATACTAGATATATATCAAGTCCTTGCAATAAGTCCTCATAGACCGTTTTGATATACTTAAGTTGTGTGTACGATTAATGCCCCCTCTTCCCCCCCCCCCCATGACTAATATTATTCACACCTTTTCTCGCCTCCTCGTTCCCATCATCCTCATCTTGAACAAGTTGTTCCTCTGCTTTTCTCTGACATTCAGGTTTACTTAACTCGTACAAAACTGCTGGAGAGAAATCTGTTAGGTCTGTTTTGTCTACCAATCCATCATTCTTCGAATATGTTGTATGGAAATATGCGCTCGACGAACAACTCTAGAAATGAAAGAAGTTGATTTCGTACATACCATGTTTTGCGCTTTTATCGTGAGTCGCCCGACTTTTTAATTAGATCACAATATTTCACGATATCTCAGAAATCTTGCGATAAATGGCAGGACTTTAGGTCATACAGGGTGTAAAAAAATGTGCACTAAACTGAAAATTCCGCCAAATTTTTGACAACTTTATATTAAAATGGATAGTTTGGGGACTGTTAGCTGGTGCCTCTATCACAAAATTAGTCAGAAAAGTAAATTTTGGAGTGCAGCAGAGCTGTTTTTAAAACCACTTTAAAAATGGCTTGCGCACAAAAATGGTATTTTTGAAAAGCAATTTGAATTCATAAGGTGCAAATTTAGGAGGTGTTTTATGAACTATATATGAAAGTAGCAGAAAAAACTTGTATAATTGTTCATCGTAGTAACCTATCAAACCTACCATTTTTGTGCGAAAGCCATTTTAAAGTGGGCTTAAAAAACAGCTCTGCTACACTCGAAAATGTACCTTTCTCAGGTTCGCAATGGGTTAATTAACAACAACGAGATCTGATTGTTCAACTGGGGCTGATCAGATACCTCTGAAGTATCTAAAGCTGGTCGCTGATCAGATTGCTTCGCCCATAACACACATTCTTAACAAATTAACAAATTCGTCTCTGGTCGTCTATATCCTGAAACCTGGAAACTTGCACGCGTTACCCCTACCTAAGGTGGACTCATCAACTGATGTAGATCATTTTAGACCCTGTTGCATTTTACCTGATTTATCTGAAGTTTACCAATCAAAATGATTAGAGTTGATCAATGAAAATGATGTTCTTAAGAACACTATCTCAGGATTCCCCAAAGAACATTCTACCACTACAACCCGATTGCGAATAAGAGATGACATACTACGGCAATTAAAAAGGGAGAGGTCACAATCATTGCTTTTGCTGATTTCTCTAAAGCGTTTGATACCGTCGATTACTTAACAGCGTTGCGGAAGCTGCATGCCATCGGAATTTCAACTTAATTCATCATTAACCTGGGTTCTTCACTACCTAACATCCAAATAAATAGATCGTATAAGTCAACGATAAGCAGACTGATTCTTTGAATGTGCATTTTGGCGTGCCCCAGGGATCCATATTAGGCCCTGCAATTTTCAACTTATATGTGAACGATCTTCAAAGCTAAATGGACAATGCATGACTGCCCATATTTCCAATATACTGATGATACGACTGTTTATGATCACAGCATCCCGAAAGATCTCGCACCTTGTGCATGCACATAAGATGAATACAAGGCCGGCGCTAGAGGAGGTGTTAAGGTGTGGAACAACCCCCCGTCATCAGGTAGTCTGCAAGATATTGAATCTCAGACGGCAAAACATGGATTTCGATAGGAATGAAAAAAATAAAATAGTTGAGTGACACCGATTAAAATTAAGAATGATAGCGAAAATGGGGAGAAATTTACGAAAAAGATGCTAATTTTAGGTTCATGATTTTTTTGGTGCATGAGCCAGAGCGCCACAGTGTGAAATCAGCTTGGCAAAGCCACCTAGCTCAGATAACTGGGCTGGCTCGATTCCATATAAACACCCCCTAAGACATTTAGGTTACAAACCAACAAACTCAACTAATAATTACAAGTATATTTTTTCACGCTAATTGTAAGCCTGCATAGAAGAACATATAATTTAAGAACTAATTGTCAGGCTATTTTTTATTTAGACTGAGACACCCTAAATAATAATCTGTTTAGGCTAAAATTTGAAAGCAGGTTCATATTTTATCACATGGAGTCAAGTCAAAAACTAAAAATGTATACAAATCAAAGAAAATAAACTCTTCACAAAATAATGAAAAAATCCAGAACCCTGGAAATGTCATTGAAATAAATAAAGTGTAGCTTTACAGTGCGTAGCTTTGTATAAGTGCATATACAATATACTATCATTTTTAGATAATTTGTGCACAATTTATATACATTATACCAAAAATGAGTTGCCTTTCTTAATTTAAGAACTTGTTTAACCTAATTTCCAAGCACTAATGATCATGTAGTCACTATATACATGTCTTGTCCAAAAGTGGAGTCTGGAGGTTTGAAATCAAAGCTTTCTTTTTCCTAGATGGATTGCCTGCCAAGGCTTATGAGCCCCATCTAGTCAAAGCAATCTGGGTTTAAGGTGACAGACACCAGCCTGTTCATATTGTGCTATAGATTGCCTGATTTTGTGTCAAAGAGTGGCACCATCCCATGCATAATGGTCCATAATATATGTTGTCAGAACAGCCCAGTGCAACCCCGCATATATAAGAACCTAGATATTTCCAAGTTAGCTTAAACAGATTCTTATATGTAAATGGTGCTTAGCTGACTGTTCATGTCACAAATTGTAATTATATTTACTATATTCAGTACTTGCAGGGAGGGGGGCACCTTGCATTGGTCCTTGAGTCATGTTCGTGCTTCTCCCCTTGGAGTTCTCTTTTAATGCCTGTATATGTGTGTTAATTGTTTTTATTATATAAAGTATAGTGCTTCATAAAGATTTCAAAAACTCATTAATAATTCATGAAGCAATTATGCAATCTTGAGTAAGAAATTAGTCACATGCATATGTCTTTATACCAGCTAAAGAACAGTTTAACAAAAGACCATTGTTATTCAAACTATATAAAGATTTTTATATAAAGATTTTTACATAAAGATTTTTCATATTCTGATTTGAAGCCATTCGTTTTTGAAGCCATTTAAAAAACTCGCAGGTCGTGTTTTGTTAGCTCTAAAGCCACTCGCGCTGCGCGCTCGTGGCTTTAAACCTAATAAAACACTCCTGCTCGTTTTTTAAATAGTACTTCGAGCACTAATAAAACTGGTAATCTCACATGTGAGATTATTTACGATAATTTCACATGTGAAAATTATCGCTTTCAATTATCGCTTTTCAAAGACTGTCCTTTATATAATAAACAGTGCGCTCACTCGTGAGATATCATGTTCAACACGAGAAATAAATCTGGTATTTCCAAGCACCCATGTATTATTCTCTACATCAATGATTTGTATTACCATAGTAGTTTATTTTAGTGTCAATATGAGAGTAATATCAATGAATTCGTACTTCCAGTTCATAATTTCAAAACATACATTTTTATAACACAAAAAAGTTTAAGGTAGCTCCATACGCTTTTCATCATTGGGAGACTGGTACCTAATCTTGAGTTTTCGCCGGAAAATGTTAAAAATATATACAAAAATAAATACAACTTTTTCAGTCTAAAATCCGAACCACAAGTCATGTTTATTTTGATGTTTTGAGTCTTCCTTGTTCTCATTTGTTCTCAAAGAACAAATTAGCTTCGTTCTGATTTAGTTCTGAACATTGATTAACTAGTCTTTTTAGAAGACATTTTAAGGTAAAAAATGCAATGTTTAACGTTCAAACTCTTGAGAAAACCGGCGATCGGCCCGACCGGCGAAAAGTTTTTTACTCCAATATTTGGCGATTTATAGGTTCATATCCAGAGTTTTTTTGTACTTACAACTGGTAAATGTATTCAAAGTGTTACTAACAGCAAAGGAATTCAGTGAAACAGCATCATGCGCCGGCTCAAACTGTTTTAACTTGTCAACAACAACATGAAAACACACAAGTTACGACTGAAAACGAATATAAAACTATGTAGAAAAGCCAAAAAGTTCATAGTACATGTCACACATATCTTATACCAAACGACCGACAATCACTTGATTTTTTGTTCCCGAGGTAGCATGCAAAACTAAATATATTAAATTTTGCATTTCTAAGCAAGAAAACACAATATATATTTGATATTTCGACGAGACTAAAAACTTTTTTGTGCGTGATTTTCTGGAGATGCGCCTGCGAAAACATGTACGCGTATGTCAATTCATTGATCTTGCAAAGTGTGAAAAACTTTGGCCGCGCGGAATAAAACCGTGATTATTTCCAAAACGAGTTCGGTAAGGTACCCTGAAAATTTGTACATGAGTAGATACATACTTCAAGATTTCATGATGGAAAAATAAAAAAAATTGTCGACAGAAACTGTCAAAAAAGTCGAAATTGAATTCAAAAGAATTGAGTCGACAGAATTTTTCTTGATTGAACTTCCCAGAAATGTTTCTCGACACTAACGTAACTGATTTATTCCAAAAACAATTGGGTTCACCGAATTCATTTTTGAAAAAAACTCGAAAACCTATTCCATATATTTTCGGCTATTTAGTGTTACCATTATTCGTTATAGTTGTCATAGAAACGTAGCCTACGGTGTAGACCCCAGCAGAAACACGTTTCGTGAGGGGTCTACGAATAAACCAAGAAAAGCTTGCCCGGCCTACGTCATATCCGTTTTACGTTTTGGGTAAATTAACTTCAATTTATTCAAATTTCTGAAGCGTGCGTGAATGTAAATTTTCATTTGGCGCTTATTAAAATGTTCCACGGCAGACTTTGTGCAATAAAATATACCTTGACTATATATATATATATATATATATATATATATATATATATATATATATATATATATATATATATATATATATATATATATATATATATATATATACCCAACCATTAAACACATGTCCGAACGGACTAAAAAGTTCTTCTCATTCGTACAAACTGTTAAGCTGTTGAAGGCTTGAAGCTTGTCAAGACATCCAATTTCTGAAGTCGAAGAGTCGCTCGAAATATCCCAGTTTCCTCACGACATTTCGCTGTACTTTAAGCGGTATACCAACAGCGTTTATAATGCTGTTTTGTGCGCGTTCGTTATTGTATTGTCTAGGCTGTAGTCTAGTTCACATATTAAACCGTTCTTTGAAGCTTCTCCGTTTCACCGTTTGTTTCCTAACGTCAGGCGGCCAGGGATGCTTTAAAAATGCTATTTGTAATTGAAATAGAGAAGGAAAGGTCGTCTAACTCCTTACGTACAGTGTCCTTGCTGTCCAAGAAATTAATATCGCTTTTATTCGACGGGACTTTGAAGCAAAGAACACATTTGTCTTGCACAGAGTCCGCCGTGGAACATTTTAATAAGTGCTAAATGAAAATTTACATTCACGCACGCTTCAGAAATTTGAATAAATTGGAGTTAATTTACCCAAAACGTAAATCGGATATGACGTTAGATATAAACCTACTAAAGTGAATGAACTAAATATAAATAATGTAAAACTAACAAGCCCTGAAGACATAGCAAAAGGTTTCAATGATTACTTTGCAAATATTGGACCTAACTTAGCAGCTGAAATTGATACAACTGAATGTCATTTTAAGGACTACCTTAAGAAAGCTGAATCTGAATTTACTGCATTCAAACCAGTTACTACAAACCATGTTTGTTTTTTGTTATCTCAACTAGCTGGCAACAAAGCTACTGGCTTAGATAAAATTTCTAGCAAGGTTGTCAAAATAGCAGCCCCAATTATTTCCGATTCATTAACCTATATTTTTAACCAATCAATTATTCTATGTACATTTCCGAATGAATGGAAAGTTGCAAGAATAATCCCCCTTTTTAAGAATGGCAAGCGTAATTTGGCTGGAAATTATCGTCCAATCTCTGTCTTGCCTGCCATAAGCAAAGTTATGGAACGTATTTTATATAACCAACTATATGAGTATTTGTCGCTAAACAACCTCCTCTCAGAACATCAGTTTGGTTTCCAAAAGTTTC